CTTATTATCCTAATAATACATTTACACATTACATAATTTTACAAAGGTTACTTTTACGCTATATCCTTCTACAGTTCAGTCATGTTTATAATTACCAATTTTGCCCCGGCCTCGCATAATGTGACGCCGGCCCTGGTTATGGTGATTATCTTTAACTGTTTGTACATAAAATTACTATCATATAGGTATTTCATATTCATACTTGTTTTAAATATAAATAGGTATACCATAAAATACGACGTTTGATTCCTAGATTTTATACCATACATGGTGTGACTAACCGTCTCCGATGATGTAATTAAATTAAACGTACATTTTCTCTGCAGTGTTCAGCCGCGGCGTCTAGACGCAACATGTCGCTGGCGTCGACGCGATACACTACATTGTCCGAGACCAGTGCTGTCCCCAGACGCCGCTCAAATGTTCTAGACGCAGCGACGAACGCACATAGGAAAACGGTTACATCTCAAAAGAAACGAATAAGACGTTTGGTAATAATACAATATAAAGAAGAACTAGCCAATGACAGAGAAGCGTGAGATGGGTATAACGCCGTGTACCTACAAGTATCAGATCTGAAATAGTATATTATAAAATGTATACATTTTTAATTTAAACTCGTGAAATTCCATCAAATAAATTATGTTTTTTATTCATTTAAAACATAATTAAACAATAATTCGTTTTAGATTCTGAACGGAGTGATGAATGTATTGATTTTACAATGATGTGTGTTTTTTATTTTTGTATTTGTTTTGATACTTTTATTCGAATCTACGTACAAGTTTATAAATTATAAATGTTCTTATTAATTCTTATTACAAATACAGTGAATTCCGCTTAATGTGGGCACGTTGGGACCAGCCCTGTTTGCCCACATTAAGCGGTTGCCCATAAAAACCGAAATTAGTAAAAAAAAAAAAAAATTATAATAAAAAAATATATTTGTGTTATCATATAATTGAAAAAAATTTTAAATAATTACTAGATATATAAATAAAACTAAATACATATAATATATTAAATAAAATTAATCTTTGGATGTAGAAGGTATACAAAACGTAATTTTTCGTTGTCTAAGCTGTTTAGTATGGATCTGGTTGACAAAATAGGCACACGCTTCAAGTTTATCAGACGGACTATTTTCGTTTCCCTCTTGCATGAAGAACTTCTGCAAGAAATCAATGCACTTTTTCGCCTCTCTTTGGCAAAATTTGTTTATTTGAATGGTAATGATTTTTATTACTTTCGATAAACACAATCTCATAGATACGACGGAACCCGATTAAATTAATCGTTTTTAAATACTTATGTGTATATTCTAACGCTATGATAAAAAAAATTGCCCACATAAACCGAATCGAGTGTCCATATTACGCGGTTTTATTTGACATTGTTAATATACATTTGTATTGGGACCAGACATGTTTGCCCACAATAAGCGGATGCCCATATTAACCGGTGGCCACATTAAGCGGAATCCACTGTACTTAGGATTTAGGAACAGTATGTATATTTTTAGATTTGCACTTCTCGTTCAAACCATCACTGCCATGAGTGCCATGTAGTTACGTTGTCTACGTTTTAAAAAGACAAGGCCGTACTCTTTACGGTTTTAGAGATTAATATTAGTTGGCTTAAAGGTTTCAAACATTAAAATACTTACCGAAAAAGTTTATCACAAATAACTTTTTTTAAATATAAATGTTTTTTTTTAATCATAAAATTATTTTGTTAGTTATTTATATATATAAAGTAAACTGATTTATCAAAAAAAAATTTTGGAAGCGCATACTTTCAGATCATAATTTAGTTTCACTGATTCACCTTCGAAATATTTTATAATTTAATAATAACGTTAAACATTATTATATTTAAAAATCACTCTAAATTTTTATGTGGAGGCAGAAGTCACTAAAAAGTTGGAATAATGAAATAACAGACGTAATACTGTATAATAATTATGAAATGAATACATTAGTATTTTTATTTTTTTAAATCGTAAATCGTAATTTTTAATTTATTATTTAGGTGATACGATATAAAATATATAAAACTGTATTAAATTTATTTAGGAACCTTTTTTTGACCACCAACACCGTAGGAACCGCTTGCGCATTACTATTTATTATCAGTAGGTATCATTATTACTTATTCAACAACTAAAATTTTAGGTTTTATTTGAATTTTTGTTTATAAGTCTACATATTTATATATTTAGACTTTTATTTTTGTAATATTTATTAAAATATTGTATAAACTATTATTATTTTTCAATATTTAGTATGTTTTAACTGTTTTTTATGCCTATTCAATATAATAATATTTTTTTATTATATTTTCTAAATTAAATTAAATTCAAATATTTTCTTAAAGTTTTAGCTAAAATAAATAAAAATTATCTTATAAGTATCCTTGGTTAATATATTTATTAACATCACACGTGGAAGACTTATATCATTATTTACTTTTTTTACAGTTTCAAATTAATTATTTAAATTGTTAAAAAAATACAAATGAAAACATTTCTTTTTATCACGTTTTATTGAAATTATAACTCGTAGATATAATTAATTTCATAATTCACACAAATCATATTAAAATAATGTATAAGTTATAACATTTATTAATTTCCACTAAAATGTAGTGCAATAATTTATAACAAACTGTCCATGTTTATGACTTAATAATTACCCTAATAGTTATATGTTAATGTATTTATTAAAATTTAAAACAACAAAACAAAAATAAATATTTTTTGAAACAAAAACATCAATAAAATTGTAGGTACATTTAAATAAATTAAGACTAGAAAACAAAGTGATTTACAAAACTAGTATAGGGGTACATACGCAAACTTCTTCTTAAAAACTATTATTACTATAGCTGTTTACATGTAGTAATCAATTGACTAGAAACTGTTTGAATTTTTGACTAGGTAATATACTCATATTGTAATAATAATAATACTTCGTTTTATAATGTAAATGCATTGTTGAAAACTAAAGAATTTGGTAAGTTAAATTTTGGAAGCAATGAATAAATAAAGTGATACGGGAAGCTTAATTTTCATAAACCACTGGAAGAATCATAATTTCATTATATAATATGTTATAAAATTTCGAGCAAATGAAGCATCTGAATACCTCAAAAAACAAATAATTATTTATAATAACATTATTATTTTAAACATCATAATTACTAAAACATTTTAGAAGTACTACCTAGTTCTACATGTGTCATAGAGCTAATAATTATAACCCTTTTTTAGTAGAAACACTGGCAACACATACATACAGTTAAATGACGCTCTTAGGATTCAGCAAGTAACGAAAAAAATAATTATTAACAAAATATAGTTTCAAAGACATTTGACTTAATACAAATAAATAAATATATTTAAGCTTTAAGGAAGTCTAATTCAGGTGCAATATAAAAGAAGTCTTTTCCTTTACAAGTAATATCAATTCATCACGCACTTTGACGTATATTATGATACAAACAGTGATTAAAAAACATTAAAGCAGCCATAATTGACTTAATAATAATAAGCCTTCTTTATTTGAAGGCATAATAAACTTTATTTAAATTCCATTTACTAATAGTCTGAAATTATAACTATGATTTGTTTTTTATTCAAGACTTAAAAAACAATTATACACACACTGCTTTTATATTGGTCAATTTTTTTTTTTTTTTTTGTTATACTCAGATATAATAAATTGTAAGTTATATATCTTTAACATAAAGAATAACTAAATGCTCATTTGATTGCAATAAAAAAAATTTCCAAAGGACAACGGTAGATATGTGACCTAAATTTGTTTACTATAAAATTTATAAATTATGTCGTAAACAAATTTAAAAACATTAGCTATATTGTGCGTGTTTGTGTTGGAAACTATATTATACTTGTATAATATATGATTATATGTGTATATAAAATAATTATATATTTGAACTTAACAATAGATAAAGACAAATTTCAATTACGTAGGAAGTTAAAAATGCAATCGAAATTTATTCAAACTGAAAGTCAACAAGAATATAAAACAATATAGTTTCCAGACTAAACACATACGTATTACATGAGCATTTGCCTAAGAGCTGTCAAAGGTATATATTTATTTATATGTACTTTACATATATATATATAAAGTAGATTAATTAGGTGTATGGAAGTAAGATGTTTGAGTCACAAGTCTTCGATTCAATATATAGAACACATCAGTCTGTTTTGAGTGTTGGAAAATTTTTAGCAACTATCAACTGTTCGTGTGGGAAGTCCAGTGTAATGGTAAAGTGGAAAGCCATATTTGATACTGCCAGGACATACTCGCTAAGTGCGAACCAAGTGAATGCTGAAACAAAAACGAAAGATTAAAATTATCAAACAAACATTAATGCATATTTTAATATTATGTTGAATATTACCTAAGTCATGGCAGTAGAAACGATGTTTAATAAAGTAAATTATCAATGTGAACGTCGATGTAATACAAATAGCGAATAGTATTTTCTTAATGGTATACGACAAACGTTGATGTTCCGTCATACTTTTGTGCACCATATTGAATGTCTTAATCATAACAATCATGTACAACAATGAGCTGAGCATGAACAAAATGAAGATTTTCTCGTGCACGGCTAAAATAAATAAAACGTCGGGGTGATAGTTGTTAAAATATAGTAGATTAAAATATGTATAATAATACGATAAACTATGAAACGCACGATAGTTTTCTCTATTGGATATGTAAGTTACGCCACATATTGCAGCTATTTCGATGAGATTGAGCCAGTAGCAGAGGTTGATAAGTATGTAACTGGTGGACTTGTCGGCAGCTTTGGATATCTGGCTGATGAAATAGTTGTAGTACACCTGGGCGATGACCATGCGAGGTCCAACATGAAAAGCGACGGCTATCCGCCACATATACGTCTGAGGCGTCACACCGGTGATGGCGCTAATTGAAGGTATTACATTGTAGACCTGACAGGGTTAAAATATATATATATATATAATCGACCACATCACTTGAGTAAGACCCAAAAGCACAGTATGCAACTAAGGGACATCTGTGACACTTGTGTAGAAAAGAGCAAGTTTTTTTATTTAAAAAGATATGTACATTCAAATACATTAAATACTTATTTAAAAAAAAATATTTTTTTTTTTACAATAGCATGTAATATTATAAAAATTCAAAACATATTTGAAACTATTAATAAATTATTATCAGTGATGATTCATCACAAAACAAAATCGATATATAAAGCTGCATATTTACATCGTGAAAGACCTGAAGGTATGTACAGTGTTGGGAAAAATAATTCTGTCTTTAATAGATGATTTAAATTGAAAAACTATTATATTTATAATTAAAAACTGATGAATTTCTATAAATTAATTAGTTAGTCGAATTTATCACCCACCCCTACCGACATTATGATTAATTTTGTTTTTATCAGTTATAAAATATATTTTATATAATTAATAAATAGCTATCAAGATTTAATGAAATCCGTGAATATATTAAATTTTTAAATATTATAATACATATAAACTTTAATCAAAGCTGTTTTACCCAAAAGTATACTCAGAAATCTTTAATTGTTATTTGATACTGTTCTAAATGATACAATAAGTTGAAATTTTAAATTGCCATTACAAGAAAGTAAAATAAAAGCCTCCACGACCCGGAAATCTTTTTTTACATTTGTTTTAACACAAAATGTAAAATTTATCAGAAATGTTTATATCATAAAAATTATTGAAGATAAATAGGTACATAACAAATAAATATTTGATAACAATATGATCAGTTGTTAATTACTAGGATAAAATTTATCTATTTATCGTATGGTTAATAAAGATAAAATGAAAGGTACGAATATTGTAGTACAATTAATACCTATATAAATTACTAACCAACTTGTTTGAAATGTTTGAATTATACTCAATAATTATAATATGTGAACATATTCAATTATTATTAATTATTTTATACTAATAACGTATACCTATACGGCTATAACTATTAGATGTTTTTGACCTGTATGTGTCAGGTAACAATATGGTTCATCATAACGTCAAAGTTAAAATAATATTTTTTTACTGCTGTGGTTGTGGCGACTATAGTTGTTTAAATAATACCATATAATTTGCTTATAATACGAGTTTAACATAATATTAAACAATTATTTATTTATTATTTGAATGGTAGGTACAGAAAATTATAAAATTACGACCATTAAGGGAATTGAAAGCAGTGATTTTCTGTCTTTGTCTAATGCATGCGCAACATAAGATTACAGGCGTGTTTTGTTTAACACGTACCTATAGATATAATTATTAAGCGATAAGAATTTTGAAAACAGATTTAAGTTATTTGTCAAGTCTACCTGTGATCAACTTTCCCGCATTTTTAATTTTTTGACTTTAACTTCTCCAAAAATTGAAATATGTCAAATTTTTATTACTCTTTTTTTAGTATAACTTTTTTAGGATTATAGGGCATAAAATCAGAAATGTGGAAATGTCGATCTCAGGTAGACTTGACGACAAATGCAAATCTGTTTTCAAAAGCCTTATCGCTTCATTAAATCAACCTGTACGTTTTAAGCAAAACGCGTATATAATCCTGTATTGCGCATGTACGAAACAAAGACAGAAAATCACCGCTTCCAATCCTCTCAAATAGTAGCAATTACAATTGAAACGAGAAGAGTCGAAAGAACCCACCAACTAAAATCAGTAGCTGGCGTGTCTCGGGACAATTAGTCTTTAATCCGGGGTCGATCACTACCCCGTCACTACCTCGTTACAGTCGATCGACTGTAACGTCTACAATAATATACACTCACTCGACAGTGCGTCTCGTGCACGTCATCGTACTGGAAGACGTACGCGGTGGCCAGGCACGTCAACAGAGTGATGAGCGGCAAAGACACGCCGACGAACGCCAGTTTACGTATGCTCAGGTTGAAGAACAGCAGCATGTGCTCAAGCTGGTCGTCCGCCTGTTCGTTGGCGGACTTGGCGACGGTCTTGGCAGTCATGTCGCGCGCGCGCGTGTGTACACCACCTACACGCAGGACTGTGGGGCCAAGGAGGTATAGAGCACAACACCTGTCGACAGAAACGCACACGAAACACTCGGTAACGATAACAATAATTACGACGGGATTGGACGATAAAAAAAAAAAAAAAAAAAAAGACTCGTTACTTTTGCAACGTCCACCGGGTTGTTTTGAAAACGGCGAGCGGGCCGGCCGGTGTCACCTGCCGACAAGTCGCGACGTGGTCATCGCGCGGCCGCCACAGCCATGTCTGTAACCGGGACTGGCACGATCGTCGCTACACTATAAAACGTCAACGTTGTGACGTGCCCGTCTAACGGCCACTGCAGAGCTGCTCACCGCGTAACGACGATGACTGTGGTGCCGAGCGGCGATCGGGTCAAAAACGGAAGACTTTTGCGCGTTTTATCGCGTACCATCGATTTATGTGTAATATTATTTTATCAAGGCGGTCGGCGACGTGTGCGCGCGCGTGCGGCGACGTGAGACAGAAAGTGAGAGAGACGGTGTCGGCGCGAATCATTGGCGAGCACGCCAAGCGTGCGAGGGGGGAGGAGGAGGAGAGACGGAAACGGTGCAAAAAGTTAGAGCGCGCGCGCACGCCGTCGACGAGCGAGCGTTTCGCCGTCGTACACGTTTTTAGACACAGGTCGGTGGCCGCCGTATTATTTTATTTTTATCCTCCGCCGCGCGCATTAATAATTGTCGCGTTTCACGCCGTACGCGGGGCGTGTGTTTACGGTACACGTATACGTGGGGTACCAGAGACCGGGGTACCAGGGACCGGGGTAGGTATAGGTACTGTTGACTGTTCTATAACGATCGGGTGCGCTTGGTTTTGTTTTGGATTTTGTAAGCGAAACCGCAGCAAGGCGATAGCTGCGCGCGCGGTGTATTGTATTATAAACGTTGTCAATGTTGTCGTGTTGTTATTATTTATACAAAAACATAAATTGTCGACGTCGTCGCACGTCAAACTCGAGCGCGGCGCACACCGTAGTAGCTTATGGTTTTGTTTTGTTGTTGTTTCGTTTGTTATTGCAACAAGCGCGATCCAAAAACTTTTTTTTACGATGCGACTGCTTGTCCCGGAATTCTACGAGATTTTTTCGGGTTCACGGCGATACGGACAACGTTTAAATTCTATATATAGAACAGGATGAGGTCGGTCGACTTTTTCCGCGTTCGGTTGAAACCGTTAATTTTTTTTTTCAAATCTAGCCAGGTCTGTACGTTATAACGTCCGAAAACTAGTAGCCAAAATCGTTTCACATTGATATCGAAAACCGACAAAGGAAAAAAATGTTATAAGTTATTTATAGGGCCCGGACCCCATTCCACACATTTTGCAAACGTGGATATACTTGGAACTCGCTTTGCTCTGATTGGTCCAACTTGAATTGTCTCTTTTTTAATTTACATTCGCAAGCTACAGATAAATCAATGATTGCAAAAACGACACGAGTTACATTTTTGGTGAAATGTCATGAGTCAGAAAACTTTGAAAGTCAATAATAAAAAACTATCATATTATTTATACACACAAATTATGTGTAATCAGTGCATAATATATTTCTACAAGTACCTATTCATTTATAAATAAGAATTGTTTTCAAAATTATTTAAATTATACACTTTTTATCAATTATCCATAAGTTTAAAAAAATTGACTCATGTCGTTTTTGCAATCATCGATTCAGATAGTATCTAAATCGCTAATTATCATCGCATTGACATTATTGCTTTTATAGTTCTTCTTTCAAACGACGTTAATAAATTGTTAATACGGTTAGTTAACTTAAAAACGTAAACCAACGGACGAATAATAGTAAAATCATAATAACAATGATGATTATAAACTACTCGTCTATAGACTATAAGTCATAAGGTTAACAGTATTGAAATTTGATACTGTTATGATCGCGAAATTTAAATCGCTACCGGTATGTCACGTCGTAAATGGTTTAAAATAAATGTAGTGGCGCTATTTGAGTTTTTTAATAGAAGTGTCCAAATTTAAGCAGGCGCGTTTTTTTACATCATCTGGCCATTTTTTCTTCATAATAGTAAATTCATATATTTTTTGTTTAAGACGCATGTATATTGTATGGAGCGGAACTGTTGAAGAATTGTATATTATACAATATTTTAATGAACTCATATTATTAAATAACGACTATTTTTGTCTTTCGATATAGATATAAAAATATTTATTAGGTACTTACATTTACCCAGTGCAGGTAAAATTAATACATTCATTTTTAATATCTATAAACTGCTTCGTCTAAGTCAATTTTGTTAGCGCCTTCTTTTTTCTACTGCTATATAATCATTAAATCACTAAATCAGTAGCTAATCTTTACTCTTTCGAGTAAAGAAAAAAGCCTTTCACTATGGGTAGGTAATATTAATAATGGAATAATATTAACTATTTGAAGCATTTTGATTGTTTCTGAAAATTCTGTTGGACTTTTTAATATATTCATTTTGAATTATTTATAGAGATTTATAAAATTATATTAGTATAAGCATTCTGCATTGAAATAGTTATGATTAGGGCTAGGATTTTAATGACCTAAAAAACCTAAAAAATGACATAAAAAAACTTGAAAAAAATAAAAAATAAAATGACTCAATAAGAAAAAATGACCTTATATAATGCTCGAAAAAAAATAATATATTAATAAATTACTAAATAATTTATATATATACAAATAAATTCATCTTCTAGTAAATAGCCACCATCATTTGTTCTGAAATTAATATATTTTGAAATAAAATAATATTGTAAAACTAAAATTTTAATTTTAACTTAAATTTAATAATTTATTGATAAATTATAACACGTAATCGAACATTATTATCGATTATTGCTCGGTTAGTCCAACGAGTAGGTATATTTTATATTGTACAAACGATTAGTATTTTAAAATATTTTTAGAGAATGTGTTAATGATTTTATTTTAATGTTGTATCATTGTATGTTTGTACCTACACTAATTTATAACAACTATTTAAAAAATCTATTTAAAAATTTATAAAAATATTATCCAGATTTCAATAAAGAATAAAAAATGCCCATAAAATTGAAAAAAATGACCTAAAATGTTAAAAATTTACTTCAAATTAAAAAAGTACAAAAAAAATGCAAAATAAAAAAATTATATATTTGAGCTTATAGGTAGGATCAAATTACTTTTTTTGCTTGAAAAGCTATATTCTGTAAATCTTAAAAAAAAAAAAAATGCGAAATCCTATACTATCCTAGCCTTATATATGATTATTATAGACAAATATCTAGAAAATGTTGAACAAATCTTGGTTTTTTTTTTATAAAAAAACGCATGTCTATCAGTGTCAAAAATCCGGTAAACAAATATAAAACATTATATTCAATCTATTTTAATTTTTAAGAATGTATTTACAAGTAATCAGTCGACGGATGTAGTCGTGTAGATAGTTAATACCTATTATTATTGTTGATAGTCATTTGATAACAAAAGAATATTAAAACGAGCATACGCCGATAGGTACGCATATACTATATTTTATTACACTTACCTACCAACAAAAAAAAGCATTATCTGGAAAACTGAAAATAACTTTGGTTATGCATACCGATAAAACACAATAATATATTATACATTTATATTTTGTATGCATTATAACAACTAACAAGTAATATATTTATTATATTTTAATTTTTACATAGGCCATCACTCACCCATCGGTGTAATTGTAAATTTTAAGCCAGGCAAATAAGAAACAAAAAAATATAGGGGTGCCAGGGTATATCCTGACCCCCCCCCCTCCACACCACAAAGGTTCCCCTGTATAAATGTAATACTAGTACGTACCGAAATGCTGATAAGCTGTGATATACCAATACTATAGTACATGATCATACCTAAATTGGTATTATTAATAGGTACCTATAATATCATATTACCTATATAAAATAAATGAAATCTGAAAATTTCCTATTTAAATGTATTTTTAAATAGCGTGTGTGAAGCAAGTGCTCACTTATAAACAAATTTAACATTTTTTAATTGATCTGAACCATTAGCCATGTAAAAATAATGTTGATATTTAAGTATTTAAAACATACTTTATTTGGTACTTCAGTACCAAGTATTACTACTTGAATGATATACCACAGTAATCATTCAAGTAGTATTTTAGTAATCACCAGCTGTTAACAAAACACTACTAACCTTACTTGCCTAAACCAAGTCTGATTTAGTAGTTTTTGGTTTTCTAAAATGTGCTCCACTGTTCTTAGTTTTTACCTTACAAAGTATACCTAGTGTAAATACCACATCAATGATTTAAGTATCTATAATTTGCTATCATGAGCTATTTAATATATTCTAGTAGGAGAAATTTTCTTTTTAAATCAAATCATTAAGTATCATACTTCCTGAATTATATTGTCTATTGAACACTTCATCATAGGAATATACTAAGTATTTTTGAAAGCTTATTTATTTTAATTAAATAAATAACAATATTGTTTCCTTTCTTCGTTATTTTGTCAAAACTCCACACAGCATGTGTCAATCAAGAAGTATTTAACTGTAAAAACTATATCATTTAAATTAAATCTACAACACATTTATTGTAAAAATAATATATTAAATATTTTATATAACAAAAAGTTATACAATTATACATTTAAATACTTTGGCGTCAGACATGAACATTACAAATATAATTAATTAAGTTTTTTTATCTAAAAGCTAAATATTTAATTATTAGGCATATATTATAATTTATAATTTTCAACATAATATAGTTGAAATTTGAATCTTATGGTCAAAAAATATTACTATAAAAATGTAACCTACTTAATATAAAATATGTTCCTATTTAGTATTATTTTTTATATTTCTGATATTTTTGAAAAACCATTAATAAAAATATGTAAATGTAGATTTGATAAATGTGTGTAATATGTACCCATAATTATGCAGATGGGAAATGTAACTTACCAGCATATTATTACTACAACACGTCACTGTGGTGAACAGGTACATTAAATAATTATTACACAATTTGAATAAAAAAATAATGTGTATTTAAACATATTATAATACTCAATTATGTTTTTCTACATTATGGAAATTATAATATAAACTTATTTTTATTATTGTTGTAATCGAAAACATAAATATATATTAATCCTATATTAATATTATATAAAACATCATTTTAACTATTCCAAAAATTGTATTTAAACTTAAATTGTAATTATTATTATAACTAATAGTATACATATCAACATACATTTATATATTTGATATTAGTAGTAGATATTTAAAAACGGTCTTAATTGATAGGCAATAAAATAAAATATGGGTTACAAGCTAAAAAAAAAAATATTTGTATTAAATTATAACTAGTTGACAGTCGAAAATATTTTAAATAAATAATCAATTAAATTGAAAAAAATCAATTTTAAAAATTGTAATGTTTATAAAGTTTT